ACCACTTCCAAACTGAGACAGACTATGAAGAAAGGCCTGGTTATTGACTTCCAAAAATCAGCCAGTGGAAACCCAACGGATCACAAGGGTCTGGTCCACAACTGATCAAGGCAGGGGCAGAGTTTCACACCTTTGTGCTTTAGGGAGCAGGAACTTAACATTTAAAGTAGGTGGGTTTAACAAACAGGTGTTTTCTCAATTAGAAGGCTAGAAGTTTGAATTCAAGATGCCGATTCTAGGGGGAGGCTCTCTCTGTAGGCTCTGGGGTCTGATCCTTCTCAGCATTCCTTGGAGCTCTTCATGTGGCATCCAGCTTGCCCCTAATCGTGCTTACTTCTCTAATGCGCTCTTGTTTATATCTCAGATACGATGAAATGTAGGACAAACCCTACACAGACATAGTCGCCTCATTAACATAAAAAAGAAATCCTCTTCCCAGATTGGATGACACCCACAGGTGCAGGAGTTAGGAATGGGCGCTTATTTGGGGGAACACACACAAACCATCACAATGGGCAGCTGCTCTGCTTCTGAGACCCAGGATGAGTAACTTCATACGGCATTTGTGACGATGATACGGGATGACATTTTGTCTTCTCCTCCCCGTCATCTCTCCATATCATCATCTCTGCCACCATCTCTGGCATCACTGTTTCTCTGGGTAGGGTCCCGAACTCCGCTCATCTCCCTTGATGACCCCAAGGATCTCAGGTACATTTTTGAGACAACCAGAAAAGTCCTATCCAACATGCGGTGGCATGCATCTTTTGGGAACCTTTGGGGACTTCCTACAAAACATAAAACCCAAGTCCTAATGCACCAGTGTCTGTGTAGGCAAACTATGTGCTAAGGGCTTTGCAATAGGCCCACCCCTCTGTGCCCACGTCACACAGATCAGGAAGGTTGGCAGGGGATGTCAACCACAAAACACACACCTGCAGGAAGCTCCTCCCCACAGTGGGTCTGCCAGAACTCAAGTGGGTCTACTGGAGCCATGGGCTGGCCCACGCTTGCCTGGGACTCCATTTCCCAAGAGACCATGCTGGCTGCTAACTGTTGCTAGTTGCTATCAAGTCGGCTCTGAGTCACAATAACTGCTACATTTGAATTCATCATTGTGGCTACTGATTCTTAAAAGACCCTCAACAATTAACCCCTAAACCTTATAGCCGATTCAATGGACTTAACACAATAGGTTACAAACAGCAAACACTTCTGGAATCCGACTGTACAGACACACTCCTCCAGGAACTTGCTAAGCATTTGGCAAGGATGGATTTCATTTAAGGTTTCTACCAGCTCTAAGAGCTAAGTGCTCGTACCTATTTCACAGATGGGAAAACAGAGGCCCGGGGGTCTCCAATCACATGCACAAAGACAAGTTGCATAGCTACCCAGGTGGTCTACTCTTAGCTTCTGGGCCACCTTATCCTGACCTGTGTTCTTTGTTTATTAAATCTTCATTAAGGAGGGCAACTTGAACATTGGCTACCCAAAATGGGGGGCAGGAGGGCGCTACAAAGGCAAGAAGTGACTGGCTTAGAAGTTTTCAAGAGGGAGCCTAGATCCAGAGGGCGTGGAGGAAGGTAGAATCTCCACTGAGTAGTATCCAAACTGTTTGGGCCGGGCTGATGAAAGGAGATGGGGATAGGTCTCTTGTGCTACAATAGTGAATAGTTGCTATCAGGACTGACTGTGAGGGTTGGAAATGTAAAGATAGATGTTTTCTAGCAAGGAGGGGAGTAATTAATTTTGCAGTCTAGGAGCAGAGGTCCCTGGATCATCAAGGGAGAAGAGCAGAGAGTGGGACCCTACCCAGCGAAGCAGTGAGGCCAGAGATGGAGGCAGAGACAATGACATGGAGTGACGGAGCAGCTGGGGACTTGAGATCCAGAGAGGGAGAGGGGCTGTGTGCTGAGGACTGGAGGAGATGGGGGCAGTCTTGCAGGGTATACCCTTTGGTTGGTTGATGATGCATGGAGGGGATTGTATTGTAACCATGGCAATGAAACAATATACGATAGGATGAATGTTAAGTTAATGTTCTCCCTTGTAAACTATCACACAATTCACAATAAAACATTTTTTTAGATCTTCATTAAGGAATAATCCACTTAAATACAATTTACCGGTTTTAGTAGACACTGTGATGGTTTTGTTCCTCAATCTTCTTTTACCTTGCTGGATTTCCCAACTGCCGATGCTGCCTCTATGAGACATCAGACTCGAGTTGTACTTCTGTGTCTGACTTCTTTCACTCAGCATCATGTCTTCAAGGTCGGTCCACGCATGGTGGCTGAGTGATAACCCATTGTCTGGATGGACCACACACATTCATCTGTTGATGTACCTTTGGGTTGCTTCCCCCTTTCGGTTATTGTGAATAGTGTTGCAATGAATATTGAGGTACAAGTGTCTGTGTGAGTCCCCATTTCCAAGTCTTTGGAGGTATATGCCCAAGAGGAGCATCATCAGATGGTATGGCGCTGTAGGGTAAGCACTGGACTGCTAACTGAAAGGTTGGAAGTTCAAACCCACCAGCCACTCCTTGGAAACCCGACCCAGGGTTGCTATGAGTAGGAACCAAGTCAAGGAGACAGCACTTAACAATAACAACAATGGTAGTTCTATGCTTAACTTTTTTTTTTTTTTAGAGACCACAGTGGTTGCACTAGTTCACTTCCCCACCAGCATCGAATGAAGGTCCTCGTTTCTCCACATCCTCACCAGCACTTGCTGTTTTGTGATTTTTTATTATTATTACTTTTGTTGGTTTTATATCTATAATAGACATTCTAATGGGAATGTCTCCTGGTGTGGTGCTGTGGGTTAATGCGCTGGACTGCAAGGTCAGTTTGAACTGCAAGATCAGCTGTTCGAGCTCACCAATCGCTCCTCGGAAACCCCATACAGGGAGGCTATGAGTCAGAACTGATTGGACAGCACTTAACAACAACAACAAATTGGAAAGAAGTGGTATCTCATGGTGGTTTTCATATGCTAACCTGAATAATGTTGAGCATCTTTTTATGTATTTGTTGGTCATTTGTAGATCTTTTTTGGAGAAATGTCTACTTGTGTCTTTAGCCCACTTTTTAGTTGGGTATGTGTTTTCTTATTGTTTTTGCTGAGTTTTGAGAGTTCTTCCTCAATTCGGGATTGTAAACCCTTATCTGATACATAATTTGTGAATATCCCCTCCCATTCCATAGCTTGTTTCTTTGCATGTTGCATAATGTCTCTTGTTACATTATCCAGAAAGGTTTTGCATATTGGTGAAGTCCAATGCATCTGTTTTGGGTTTTTTCCCTCTTTTTGCTCATTTTTTGATGAAGGTTTTCCCCTATTATTTTCTTCTAAGAGTTTTGTAGTTCTAGTACTTCTATTTACATCATTGGTCCGTTTTGAGCTGATTTCATATACGGTTTGAGGTAGGGATCTGGCTTCGTTCTTTGCATGCAGAGATCCCGTTGTTCCAGCACCATTTCTTGAGAAGACTATCTTTTCCCCCACTGATGTGGCTGTTAGTCTTCTCTGACACCTCCCAGATAGCATCAGGGACAGATCTATGGCTTCTGGGCCATCTTTACAGGAGGCAGCTGCTCAGAGTCTGCCTCTCTTTGGGGAGGTATGTGGGAAGGTTCTTGGAAGAAACACAACCAGAACGTTTGGAAGACGTACAGCCAGAATGCTTCTAAGTGAGGATGGAGACACTTGGTCTCTCAAACATTGGACATGGTATCAGAAAGAACCAGTCCCTGAAGGAGGGCAGGCATCATGCTTTGAAAAGTGGAGGGTCAGCGAAAAAGAGGAAGGTCCCCAATGAAATGGATGGGCACAGAGGCAGCTACAATGGGGTCAAACATAGCAGAAATTGTAAGGATGGTTCAGGGCCAGGCAGTGTTTCGTTCTGTTGTGCACAGGGTAAGTTCTCTGTCGGTCTCCATCCGTCACATCCCCCAAGGTGGTGGAGGTTTCTGGCTGACCTCACCCAGCCCCCTCAGCATCTTTTATCTAGAACACAATCAGCCCATATATGTGAGCATCTTACTAGGTCACCTTCAACAGCATCCACTGTACCCTCAGGGAAGCACTCCATTCCTAACCCCACTGCACCTGGCAGTGTGAACAACCTGGGTTCCCTCCCTCTTTCACAACTCTTTAGGTGAGAAGTGGGTTCCACTTCCTCTACCAAGTACATCCCCAAACTCCAAGGGGTTCCCTCCAGACCAAATTCTATGATGCATCCCCAGGCCTTGCAACTGGCTCTCTAGAACAGCCACCGTGTCACCTGGAGATGTTCTCGCACTTAAAGGATTCTTAGAAACCCCAGAGTTTCTAAGCAGCAGGTCAAGAATGGGGTGATGCTGTGGGTCGTGGAGGACACACTTTGAGAGTCACTGTCCTGGCCCAAGCTCCCTCTAATTCAGAGGCTCGAATCAGCACCTCATTTTTATTTCTGCTCTTAGCCTACATAGAACCAAATGTGGACGGAGTGGGTGGGGAGGTGGATAAACACACCATCTCTTTAGAATTATGGGGAACCCACTGATCTCTTTAGGGCTACAACTATCATTCTGAGACAACATAAAAAGTTGCATCCGATCGCCTGTTAGAGGTTCACAAAGGAGAAGCAACTTTTCTGCATTCAGTGTACACAGCTGGGGATGAACCTATGTGCCCTTTGTCCCATGATACCCCTAAGACAAGGGAGAGCCTACTTCAGGTCAAGCTGGCTCCAGGACATGTGTGGCAGAATGGGAAGTACTCTACCCCAAGTCTAGGTTCCTGGTTCTAGTCAACCATAGGAGAGGGGTGTGAGAAATGAAATTGGGGAATGTTTCCATTTCTCAGTGCCCCCTGTAGTCCTTCACGAGATTATAGAGACTCCTGCGCCTGTGTTGAACTCTAGCCCCTGCCCTTGTGACCTTGAACCATGTGACCTTGAACAAGTAGTCACATAACTTTCCTGGGTCCTGATTCAGTCATCTGTCACCTAGAGGGGGTACATGCACCCCAATGGGCTGGTGAGTGAGAAAACAGGGATGGGCAACATTGTTCTCAGTCACCTGCTTCACCATGTGAAGCCCACACCACGAGTGACCGAAAGCCGGCTCACTGCAGGCAGGGACTTCTCATCCTTCTCATTCATCCCATGCCGAGCCCATCAGGTGAGATGTGAGTGAGGGGAAACCAGGCACCCCGAGCCAGCCCTATCCAGTATGAGACCCTGACAGCAGACAGACTGTATGTAGCCCAAGCCTCAGACCTTGAACCTATCCCTGGCCCTCCCTATTGCCCCTCCAAAGGGCTAAGCTCCCTCAGCAGATACAATTGGCTTAAAAAGGAAATGGGCTCACTCATGACTTAACTCGTCTTATTTTTAGCTCTATGACTCATTCCCGTGGGTCTCTGCGGATATACTCCGGCTGCTGGCAGAAGCCGTGCTGCCATTCCCGGGCTGAGCAGGGATGTGAGGGGCCAAAGGAGGGTGAAAGTCTGCTATAGGAATCCAGTCCCCCTCCTGCACCAACGTGCGTTTCTTCCACTTTCTCCTCCTCTCTCTAATTTGATTGCACGTTACACATACTGTTCTTATGGTCCCCCTGCTGTTTGGGGGGATTTTCTATCTTTTCTATAATTAACATTTATTTCAGTAAAAGAAATAAGTGGGTTACCCATATTAGTCTCAGAGTACCCCGGATAGATCTGACTCCTGGCTGCAGTAAAGGGTAACATCTGTCTCATCCCATCTAGGGGATGAAGGAGGAGCTTCAAGTGTGTGGGGAGGGTGGGGGATGTATGTTCCCAGTGCCCTGACCTACATGTGCAGACTGGCTGGGCTGGGCTGCCCAGCACCCTACACCAAACTTTCTGCACCCCACTCATCAGCCCCGAGCACACCCTTATCAACAAGGGTCAGCTGGGTGGGCGCAGGGCTAGGGTCTAGAGGGCCGGAAGGACGAGGCGCTTCCCAGACTAGGTGGCCCCTTAGGTGGATATGGGAAGAGCAGCTTCTTCTAGGCTCAGTGAAAGAGAACAATCTATGCCCAAGGTCAGGACCATCTCCTCTGCACCCTCCATCCCCAGCCCAGCTTCATGCATGCTGCCCCCACTGTGGGAGCTGGTCCCCTTCCCACCCAGGACTCAGTCCATCCAAAAACAAAATCAACGACAGCTCCTAAGTTCCCTGCCCTGCCCTCATCATCCATTGCTTGCACTTTGTAACTATAGGTAAAAGAATGAACACATCTCTCTTGGAAGAAGTGCAGCCACAATGTCCCTCAGGATGGTGAGACTTTGTCTCATGTACTTCTGACATGTCATCAGGAGAGACCAGCCCCTGGAGAAGGACATCATGCTTGGTAAAGATGTCAGTGAAAGACAGGCAGACCCTCAATAAGATGGACTGACACCGTGGCTACAACAAGGGGCTCACACATGGCATGGACTGTGAAGATGATGTAGGACTGTCATAAAACGGTCACTATGAGTTGGAACCAACTCCATAATACCTAATGGCAGCAACAATCACTTGTTTCTTTATTTCTTTTTTGAAAACACATGTCTTTTATAGAAAAAAAATAGAAAATTCACCCCACCTGGCAGGGGCCATGTGAATAGTTTACAAAGCATGCTCCCAATTGTGACAGGGAAAGAGACTGCTGAGGGCCGACACTGTATTTTGCTTGGGAGGACATGGAATCCCTCTGGACAAGACGTTGTTTGTGTTGTGAAGTGCCATCACTGTGATCCTGAATGGGGTTTCTGAGGAGCTGCTGGTGGGTTTGAACTGCCAACCATTTAGTTAGCAGTCCAGTGCTTAGCCTACAGCACCACACCAGGACAAGCGACAAGAAATAATCAGACTGCATTAGAGAAGGGAAGTTGCTGAGTGGCAGAATCACTTTCAGGGTTCCCCTTCTGTGGTTGGGGGAGAGTCTGGGAGGGGGCAGGGGTGGAGGAAAAGTAACCTGACTCTTAGATGTATTTCCAAAGGTAGTTGGTAAAATTCACAGCCAATCCCAGTACAACACAATAAAATAAAAACAGATAATATATTAATTGATTCTTTGCCCTTTTTTTAAAAAAAAAAGGAGACTAGATTTTACAGCCTCCTAGCTCTTCTGAGTCCTGGTATGATGCTGTGGGTTAATGCACCAGACTGCAAAGTCATTTGAACTGCAAGGTCGGCAGTTCAAGCTCACCAGCTGCTGCCTGGAAACCCTATATACAGGGTCACTATGGGTCGGAACCAACTCCATGGCACATCTCTTCTAGGGTAATCCATGTGTTTACGTTTTTCTATCTCTTTTTATCATTTGTGTTTTTCATGATTCCAAAATATTAAAACCGTGGCTATAATGTTGGTCTCATTTCCTGTGGTGGTTAGAATCTGTGAGGAGTGTTACTGGCTCAGTCATTAAGCACTCAGCTGCTAACCAAAAGGCTGGCAGTTCAAACCCACCAGCCGCTCTGCAGGAAGAAAGACCTGGTGATCTGCAGCTTAGGAAATCAATCATCTGGGGATGGAACCAACACCACAACACACAGTCTGTGTCTATCTGTTTTCCCCATAGACTTTTATTTTGTGTACCTTTCTTCTATTTCTTTGATGATGGTGTGATGTTTATTGTTTTCTCGTCCTTCCCCACACCACGAAATGAAACACTAGGGTTGCATTTTTAATGCACTAACTTGCTGATTCTAACATTTTTAATGCACTAACTTCCATTTTTACTTATTCTGTTTTTTCCCTCACTTTTTTCCTTTTCTTTTTTAAATGCATTGACTCATATGCTTTATTCAACTGATTTCATTCTTTCCTTTTTGTCAACGTATTTAAGATTAAGACTGCAAGTTCAGGTGTGGTGCTGCAGGATAAGCACTGGACTACTAACCACAAGGTTAGTCAAAACCACCAACCACTCTTGGAAACCCTATCCAGGGTTGCTATGAGTTGTAACCAACTCAACGGCACTTAACAACAAAAACAGGGCTACGACTTTTCATTTAGAACTGCTTTAGCTGCATCTCCTGGGTTCTGGCATGCAGTAGTTACATTGTCATAAAACCGTGGGAAACTGTCTTGTATGTTCCTGTAACTCCCTGCACAGTTACCATCCGCAGCACTTTGCCACACAAGGAGCTACAACACTGTCCAATATACAAACAATGTGAACCATGCATGTCGTTTAAATTTTTCTAGTAACTGAACTTACTTAAGACAACTAAAAGAAACAGGTGAAAATGATTTAATCAAATGTTTTCCTGAACCCAGCATGCCCAGAATATTATCATTTCAATGCATGATCAACACAGCATAATTAGTCATGAGAGACTGGACATCCCTTTTCTGTACCAAGTTTTCAAATCAGACGTGTATTTTACGCCCATCTCAATTTTCAAGAGCTCCATTTTCCATGAGATGGCTTGGCACAGTGGTTGTGATGAGGGGTTCCAACCCAGCGATGACTGTGAGGCTGATGAAGGACCAGGTGGGATTTCATTCTGTCTACATGGGGTTTCCATGAATCAGAACTGACTGGATGGTACCCAACAATGACCATTTTCAGTGCTCAATAGCCACATGCCCCAGACTGCAAGCTACCTGGGGGCAGGTACCTTGTCTTGTCAATATCGCACCCATGGTGCCTGAGTTTTGTAAGCACTCAGTGAGTGACTACTGACTTCATAACTGCATCTGCCCATCCTGGTATCCACCTGCTGCTTGTCACCAGCCTCTGTGTCTTGGGTGGGGCCAAGAGTGAATGTGCTCAACTGCTAGCCAAGAAGTAGGACGTTTGAGCCCACTCAGAGGCACCTCGGAAGAAAGACCTGGCAAACTCTTTCTAAGAAGTCAGTTATTGAAAACCTGACAGAGCACAGATCTGCTCTGAGCCATGTGGAGTCCTCAAGAGTTGGAACCAATGTGACTATAACTGATTATTTGCTCTCCCCTTTCCCTGCACTACAGCCTGCATCTGCTCCTACCATCTGAGCTGAGGAGCATCGCCGTGCATTCCTAAGAAGCAACTTGTCAGTGTCACTATCAAATGATCTTACTGGAACGTAGTCTTAGGAGCTCTAAGGAGTCATGGGAAACGCCAACCTTTGGCTCCAGGTACTGTTAAGCATTGCTGATATTCCTGAAGAGCACATAAGGAGAAAAACAGCACATGACAAGCTACAGAAGGTTGTCCACAAATACCTAAAGGATAAAGATCATGACAAAAAGAAATGGCCAGTGAGCCACTAATGAAGACTGCTATCAGCCTTTCTTCATGGCAGAAACCCATTGTCAGTCATGATGACAAGAAGCCCAGCTAGTAATGAAATACAAAACCGAAGGTTTCTGGGAGATCTTTGGTTCCCTAGTACACATACCAACCCCTTCTCTCACTCTTTCCTTTTCCTGCCAGGCTGGAACTCATGCAAGGTGCTTGGAGTAGCAGCAGCCTTCTTGTAGCCATCAAGACCAGCATTACATGCTAAAGATGGCAGAATGGAAATATGGAAGGGTCCAAGCCCTTGCTAATGTCATGGAACTTTCACAGCACAGCCGGGAATTCCAGAAGTTAGACTTCTCACTACATGAAAAAAAGGGGGGGGGGAAGAAGGACAGGGAGGAGAGAGAGTGTGAGGAGAAGGAAGAGGGGAAAAAGAGGAGAGGAAGAGAGAGGAGAAAGGGAAGAAGAAGAAGGAAGGAAGGAGGAAAAGCAAAGAGGAGACGGAGGAAGAGAGGAGGAAGAAGAACCCATCTCTGTAAATCCATCACTGTCTACTTATTGGGTACTTTTCAGCTGACTTCAGTAGCTACCTGATGCACAGCCAGGTGACATAAACACTCAACCGCTAACCGAAAGCTTGTTGTTGTTCAGTGGTGCTGAGTTTGTTCCAACCTATCTGGAGGTGGTGGCGGTGGCAGTGAGGTGCCGTGGAGTCAGTTCCGACTCATAGTGACCCTGTCCAGGGTTCTGAAGCTGTAAATCTTTACGGGAGCAGAAAGCCTCATCTTTCTCCCGTGGAACCGCTGGTAGTTTCGAACTGCTGACCTTCAGGCTCACTGCCTGATTCATAACCACTACGCTACCAGAGCTCCTTTTGTTATTGTTAAGTGCCAACAAATCATTTCCTACTCATATAGTAACCCAGTATAGGGTTTCTGAAGAGCAGCCGGTGAGTTTGAACCATCAACTTTGTGGTTCAAACTGACCTTGCAGTCCTGTGTTTATACTACAATGCCATTTATAGTGGCTCTGTATAGAGGGCTTACAAGGCTGTAAATCTTTGCGAGAACAGAAAGCCTCCTCTTTCTCCTATGGAGCATTTGGTGGGCTCAAACTGCCAACCTTGTGGTTCACAGTCCAGTGCTTATCCTGCCACTGCACTCCTAACTGAAAGGTAGATGGTTAAAAATTACCTGGAGGTTCCATGGAAGAAAGACTTGGTGATCTGCTACCAT